CGTGCTGCCAGTCCTACTGTCACGCGTCTCCTTGCTACTGCTGTCACTGACCCTTCCTTCGAGTCGTCTGCTGCGTCTGCCCTTGTCACTGAGCTTGTCGACTTTGCTGCGCGCTGTCGTCTAGACTACGCTGCCAGTCTTGTTGCTGAGTCTGCGTCTGTCTGTCCTCCGTCCGTCGGGGGTGAGTGTGCTCTTGGCACGGACGTCCTTGAGGACAGGCAGGAGGAGTTCCAGTGTCTGGCCGCCGCTTCACCTCGTCTCGCGTCTGTACTGCTAGCCCCTGAGGGAGACCCGGATGCACCAGACATCCCGACTCCGCGCTCTTACGCGGAGGCGATAGAGGGTCCCTACTCCTCTCAGTGGCAGGCAGCTATGGATGCAGAGATGGCTTCCTGGAAGTCCACAGGCACCTACGTTGACGCTGTTCCCCCTCCTGGGGCGAACATCGTCAGTGGCATGTGGATTTTCAGGGTGAAGCGGCCGCCGGGTTCTCCGCCTGTCTTCAAGGCGCGTTACGTGGCTCGTGGCTTCAGTCAGCGGCAGGGGGTTGACTACTTTCAGACCTTCTCCCCCACCCCGAAGATGACCACTCTTCGGGTTCTGCTACACGTTGCTGCTCACCGTGACTACGAGCTGCACTCTCTCGACTTCAGCACAGCTTTCTTGCAGGGCAGCCTGCACGAGGAGATCTGGCTGCGTCGCCCACCTGGCTTCACTGGGTCTTTCCCTCCTGGTACCCAGTGGAGTCTCCGGCGTCCAGTCTACGGTCTCCGCCAGGCGCCACGTGAGTGGCACGACACACTGAGGACTACGCTCGCGGCACTTGGGTTTGCTCCTTCCACTGCCGACCCGTCGCTGTTTCTGCGCACCGACACCTCTCTGCCGCCGTTCTACATCCTCGTGTACGTCGACGACTTGGTCTTTGCCACAGCTGACACTGCTGGACTCGCCTACGTGAAGTCCGAGCTGCAGAAGAGACACACGTGCACTGACCTGGGTGAACTGCGCAGCTACCTTGGCTTGCAGATCACCCGGGACAGAGCACGCCGCACCATTACCCTGACTCAGTCACACATGGTGCAGCAGGTCCTTCAGCGCTTCGGCTTCACGTACTCCTCGCCTCAGGCCACTCCTCTGCCTACTCGCCACTCGCTCTCAGCTCTGCCTTCGGATGAGTCCGTAGAGTCGAGTGGCCCGTTTGCAGAGCTTGTTGGCTGCCTCATGTACCTGATGACCTGCACACGACCTGACCTCGCATACCCTCTTAGCATTCTCGCACGCTTTGTTGCTCCTGGGAGACACCGACCAGAGCACATGGCTGCAGCGAAGAGGGTGTTGCGCTACTTGTGCAGTACGTCGGGCATGGGGCTAGTGCTTGGAGGGCGCAGTCCAGTGGTCCTCACTGGGCACGCAGACGCTTCTTGGGCTGACGACCAGGCTACGCAGCGGTCGTCACAGGGTTACACCTTCAGCCTTGGTTCCGGCTCTGTCTCGTGGCGGGCTACCCGCTCGTCTTCTGTTCTCGGCTCCAGTTGTGAGGCTGAGATCTACGCTGGGGCTATGGCTGCACAGGAGTTACGCTGGCTCACCTACCTGCTGACCGACCTTGGAGAGCAGCCTCGTTCTCCTCCAGTCCTGTACGTAGACAACAAGGCCATGCTGGCCTTGTGTCGAGAGCAGCGACTGGAGCACAGAACGAAGCACATTGCTCTTCGTTACTTTCTTGCTCGTGAGCTACAGCAGCGTGGACAGCTGCGACTTGCGTACGTGGCCTCTGAGGCCAACACTGCTGATGTCTTCACCAAGGCACTTGCGCCTTGTGATCATCAGCGTTGCTGCACGCAGTTGGGTCTTGTGCCTGTCTTGCCTCACTTGCTCTCCTCTTGACCTTGCTTGTACTTTCGCATATATATACTCTTGTTCTTGTATATCTCTATATATGATCTTGCATGTGAACTGGCCTTGTGGCCTCTGAACTTGTGCTCGGAATGCGTGGTGACTTTGTGATCCACCCTGAGCTTTGCTTTGCTTTGCTTGACTGGTCTTGTGACCCCTTGTTCTCCCCCACTTTGCCTATGGGGGTGTGTCAGAACTTATAGCTTACTTGTTTCTGTAGGCTATAGTGGGGTATCCCATAGGGGGTACAACCCAATTAGGGTTTCCTATTTGTACTCACTTCGTTCATAGTCATTTCATTCTCGTTCTTTGTTTCCACACTAGCACTACGCGCAACTTGCGAATGACTGGTCCTATGTGGACAGGCGTCCCATCCACCATACGCGCGTTCTTGAAGTTGACTGCCGAATCTGCTTTGGGATGGAGACGACTAACTAGCGAAGATGAAACAAACGAGTGGCTAGCTCCGCTATCTACGAGAATCTTAACCAGAACTCCAGGAAGCTTCCCTAGAAGCACGAGTGGGTGATCAACAGTGTCTACCTCGGTCGGCGTAGATGACTACTCTAAGACCGTCTCCTCTGCGTTGGTGGACGCGGCGGTTTCGGAAGCGTCCACACCAGCTAGCGACCCGCTATCTACTGGCGGTTTCCGTTTCCCTGCTGCCGCTCCTTAAGCTGTGGGCAGTCCCACTTCATGTGTTCTGGCTTTTTGCAGTAGTGACAGTTCCCTCTAAATCCCGTTTTCTGTGAGCCGTCACTGTTAACTGCACCAATCTCCATGGGCGACGGTCTGTCCCTCGATCGAGCGTTGTTGATCGGTGTGTTGTATCCCCCTGTCGCGATCGTCACGACCAGGTCGGCTTAATACTGCGTCAACGCGTTCTGCGGCTGCTACAACTGACTCGAAGGTGGACAACCCATAAATCACTATAACTTCCGCTATGTCAGGCTTCAACCCTTCGAGGTAGCGATCGCGCATCTCTGCTTCTGTGATGTCGTCTATTTCGTTGCAGATCCTCAAGAACCGTCGTGTGTACTCCTTGATGTTTCATATCTGTCGGAAATGACGCAGACGCTTCCTAGTAGCTTCGGAGCCGTTCACCAAGTCGAACCTACTTTTCAGCGCCACTTCAAATCCTTCCTATGTCGTCGGAACCGTGGTAACACCCAAAGCTAAACTCCCTAAGCTCGAAGTTGCAGCTGCATGCCTCTCGCCCTGTTGATGCCCGTCCAAATGAGCCCTTCTGACAACATTTTGCGTGAGTTGGCGCCACCACTCCAAGGGCGGGCCCCTAAGGAGCGTACCGGAGTATTCGATCCGCTGCTGCGCGTCCGCCTCTTGCACCCCACTCGCGGCGAAGTATTTGTTGAGCATGAAGATCCATGTCTGCACGTTCGCGTCGCGTTGGCTTGGGTCGAACGGCTCGGATTTCTGCGGCTTGAGTGTGCTTCGATGTTCCGGCGGCGCTTCCGCACCGTTCGACATGCTGGGTACAAGAGATGGTGTGGCATGACTATGGGAAATTGACGCGAATTCACGAAGCTGTTGCATTTCAGCCCGTACCTAACGATTTTCCAGCGTCAACGTTTCGAGTTGGCGCATAGGTTGAATAAGCGTGTTGCCCATGTCGTTCGGGACAGCGTTCGTGGCTTCATCCATGTCGGCTCGACGACTCCAAATTTGCAAGTCGGCACCGCGGGACGATGCCGTCGTAGTCTCGTCGTCGACGGTCACTCGTTGGAAGTCGCTCCCCGCGAAGCCTCTTGATACCAAGTGTTAGGCCCCTTGGCCTAAATCCGCTAAAGTTTAGCGGGGTCGACTAAGTCGAGAACAAAACGCGGCGGAAGACTTTGGCGAAAGAACTATTGTTGAAATAGGCGAAGAAGTTACTAAGTAATTGAAGAATGAGAATTGGTTGATATGAGGGAATACAAGCAAGGCTTAAGTAGCATGCAAGAGCGATTGTTGGAAAGTACTTTGTGGGACTAGAAAGCTAGAGTGCTATGTAACACTATGAAATCTTGGATGAGTTGGATGAAGATAACGGCGTGTTGCAATTTGAGGTGCACTGCATCAGCTCGACTCGTGGCACAAGTTCAAGAAGGCTCTAGGAACGCAAGAGGCCGTAAAACTTGTCCAATAAACACGCGAAAAAAAATATGTCTTAGTATAACTTTATCAAATAACTATTTGAATCACTATCTTGAAACTTTTATTTCCCGAATCAGTGTCCGTGTTTGGCCTCCCGCCTCCGTGGAGCCTTCGAAACGTCCCGAGCCGATGCAGTGCGCTGGCAATTGCAACACTCCGTATGGTTGGGGGACTGTTTAGGGTAAAATACCCTTGAACATTAAAGTACCCCGTAACACGGTACAGCCTAGGGCTGGGTTCGGCTGGCGTTATGGGTGTTAGAGCAATTTTAACCAGCCTCGAAAAAACGCCAGCTCGAAAATCCTCGAAGTCAGGCGGCACATGCAGTGCACCTTCGGAAAAACGGGTTGCCCAGTTCGGCTGGCATTGTGGGGGTTAAACCCGATGGCGCAAAAGGGGTGTAAAGTTCGAGGAAGTCAGATCGAAGACAAATGGCACCTTCGAAAAATCATCTGATTGGCTGGCATGTTCGACCAGTCGCATATCATTGGTCGGATCACTGACCCCCCCGCTGATGTAAGCTCTCGGCCGAGCACCATGCAGCGGATCAGTGGTGCGCCACTTTGCCAGGGGAACCGGTTTCCTGGAATCATCGTATGGCGAAAAACGCAGGCGTTAAAATGGCTGTTCGGCAGGCATTTCAAAGCTCTCAGGTTCGACATAAAACCGCCTATCTCGAACCTTGATAACCAACTTCTCGCTTATCTTTTCACTGTAGCCAGTCCTCGAGCCTGATATGAATGCCTTAGTAACGCCAGCTGAACAGGGCCTTGTTGATGCAGAACAGGTTCGATTGCAGGGAAGGTTGGGCAGGGTTGGGGTGGCAGTGGTAGTCTGGTTTGCAGAGTGAACTAGCGGAGGTTCGGTACGGAGAGTCTATGTTGATCTTCGGCTCTTGAACATTTGTTGGGCTGTTCTATGTGCTGATTCCTGCATTTCCAGCTGAAACAATGGCGTCTGTGTCGCTGGCTCTCGATTGTCGCGCAGTGCTAGGCGAGTCGCCCGTATGCAATGCACGTGGCGACGTCTGGTTCGTCGACATCAACGGTCGCAAGATCCTGGGCTACGACAGCGTGGCGAACCGCGCGATTCGCAAAGAGGCCATTGCGACGCCGCAGCTCGTGGGATGCGTCGCACCGCGCGCGTCGGGAGGCCTTATCGCGGCGATGGAAGTGAGAATACGGGGTCGAACTTTTATGTACTAGTTGACTTGGTTGACTTGGATGGCTGGACTGACTTGGATTACCGGACTGGGTGGGATAAATATGGAAAGACGGGAGCAAAGAAGAGGAGGCGGGGTAGAGTGGCGGAAGGGGTGACGAGTCGTTTGTTTCATTGACAGATTCTCTTTTTTCTTCTTCTTTTTCTTTCTTTCTGAACGACTTCCTCGATTCCCCTCTCTGATATCTTGGTGGTTCTCCGTGCGTACGTGCATGTGCGTGTGTGCATGTGTGTGCATGCATATGTGTGCATGCATATGTGTACGTGCATGCGTGCGCATGCATATGCATCCATGTGCCTGCAGGACTGCATAGTAGCAGTGGACACGAGTGAGGGGCAGGTGACAGACACACTCCTCCACCTGCCTGCCCAGTACACAGGGCCTAAAATACGGTCAGTTAGCAAAAAAACAGCCTTGATGTTGCCTTTGAGGCGTACTCATGCAGTTCGGTTGACGCTACTCGTCGTTCGAGCCTTGTTCCTAGAATGCAACATGAAGTCAGTCAGCTAGTAGTAGTTCAGCCATGCTGAATCTGCTAGTAGTAGTTCAGCCATGCTGAATCTGCTAGTAGTAGTTCAGCCATGCTGAATCTGCTAATAGTAGTTCAGCCATGCTGAATCTGCTAATAGTAGTTCAGCCATGCTGAATCTGTTTCCCTCTTGCATCCCCTTTTAAACTTCCTTCGTCTAACAGGGCACAACGATTCCAAAAAAAATAAAAAATCTCCACTACTTCCCCCCTTTCCTACTTCCCGCCCCTCCCTCCCCCACCCCTCCTCTCCCCCTCTGTTCCACACCTCTTGTCAGTTTCAACGACGGCAAGTGTGACCCGGCTGGTCGCTTCTGGGCGGGCACCATGCACGCCTCATGGCGCGACCCTGCTCCCAAAGGCAGCCTCTTCTGCGTCTCCCCTGCTGCTGCTGCTGCTTCCACCGCCACCGCCACTGCTGCTGCTGCTGCGCCTGCACTGGAGGTGAAGGTGGAGGGAACGCAGCTGTCCAACGGGCTCGCGTGGTCTGCAGACGGTGCACGCCTCTTCTTCATTGACTCCGCTCTCAGGGTAAGTTACACATGCACTGTGCTGCCTTGTCTGGGGCAAACGAGTATGAGGTGGGCATGAGGTGGGCAGTGGAGGTGAAGGTGGATGGCACGCAGCTGTCTGTCCAACGGGCTGGCGTGGTCTGCGGATGGCGTTTGAGTCGACTCAAAAGTCACGGGCTGGCGTGGTCTGCGGATGGCATGCGCCTCTTTCATCGACTCTGCTCTTTGGGTGGGCTATGCCGTCCATTGCTTGTGTGGGGTGTGGGGCGTGGGGTGTGGTTTCACTGGTATGCATACTCGGGTGCTATGCGTCGTCCACCCATATTCCTTCTATGCATGCACCCCACCTCACCCCCCCCCACACCCCCCAACCAGAAAGTGGGCTCTTTTGACGCCATCAGTCCTAGCAGCCATCAGCAACTCATATTCCCCCATGTCTACTATGTAACGTGTATACCCTAAACCGCCCATCCCATGTCCCCTCCGCCCATGTCTTTCCCACCCATACGCCCCTTTACCAGACAGTTGACTGTTTTGACTTTGACGCAGCCACAGCAGGCATCAGCAACCGTCGCACAGTAGTCACATTCGGCCAGGACGAACCAGGTCGGTGGAATGCGGTGGGGTGGGGTACGGGGGGATGTGTGTGCGGTGAGAGAGTAGTTGGGGCAAGGGAAGGGGAAAGGGGGTGTGAAGGGAGGAGTATGGGCACGGGGCGGTGTTTGAGTCAACTCATAAGCGATTTGATTTTTTTATTTGTATTTTTGTGAGGAGAGGGTAGAAACACTTTCATTTGATGCAGGATTGGGGGGGGGGGAGAGGGGGGGGGAGAGAGGGAGGGGGGGGGGCGCGGGGGGGGGAGGAGGTGTAGAGCGATGCGACAGGTGGGTCCTCTGTTTTAGAAAACCCCCATACGATGACCCCCTCCCCCTCCCGCTCCCACTCCCACTCCCCCCTCCCCTCCTCCCCTCCTCTCCTCCTCCCCTTCTCCCCTCCTCCCTCTTCCCTTCCTCTGTCCCCTTTACAGGAGTGCCTGATGGAATGGCAATAGATGCACGGGGGCAGCTGTGGGTGGTGGTGGGGGAGAGCGGCAGCGTGCGCCAGGTGGACCCAGAGACAGGCAAGGAGGTCTCCCGGGTGGCCCTTCCTGTCGTCCGCCCCACGTCCTGCGCCTTTGGAGGTACGTGGGTGTGGGTTCTGTGGGTGGGTGTGTGCCTGTGTGGGTGGGTGGGAGTGTTAGTAGCTGTGGGTGGTGGTGGGGGAGAGTGGCAGTGTGCGACAGGTGGATCTAGAAACAGGGAAAGAGGTCTCCCGGGTGGCTCTTCCTGTCGTCCGCCCCACGTCCTGCGCCTTTGGAGGTACGTGGGTGTGCGTGTGGGTGTGGGTTGTGTGTGTGTGTGTGTGGGTGGGAGTGTGTGTATTTCCTGCGATAGTTCCTGCCCTGCCTTTGTGTTTAAGCCGTGCCTCTTTGGCCTCCCTTTCCTTTTGTCCTTCTCTTGACTCCTGTTGCCTCTTGTACTGCAGGCAAGGACCTTTCAGAGCTCTATGTGACCACACGGGAAGAGACAGGTATGTGCAAACCATTCTCCTGCAACCTATGCCCCGTGTGAACCATCCCCGTGACCATGATCCATCCCCGTGACCATGATCCATCCCGGTGACCATGATCCATCCCCGCGACCATGATCCCAGCCTATTCACTAAGGTGCTGCTCTTCCGACCATTCTCTGTGGCCGTCTCCCCCTGTGCTCCCCCGTACACGCACATGTATTTCTTCTCTCCTCCAAATGCTTTCCGTGATACTTATCTATCTTCCCGTCACACCCACCTGTCTCCATCGTACCTACCCTCTCACAAACAATCCCTCCCTTTACCTTCCCACTCTCCCTTTTTCCCCCCACTCCCCTCCCCTCCCTGCCTTTCCCACCCATGCAATTATAACGCAGGAGCAAGCCCATCTGTCAATGCGGGGGGTCTGTTCAAATGCCATGTGCCGGGAGTCAAGGGCCTGTCCTTTGCTGATGCCTTTTCCGGGTGACTATTGCGGAGTCACAGAAATCGCATGCATATCTGCTACCGTATTCTCCCGGACAAAACACCCCCCCATGATAGAGCACCCCCGGGTAGCTTGTGCGGGGTGGGTGCTATAGGCGACCTCGATTTCACTATACCCCCCTTTTTGGATGATTTTTTATAACACCCCCCTTTCCTTACACATTCTATATTATAGCTGTTAACGAGTAGGTGCAAATACGGAAGTATATCGCGAAAATCCCTTGCTCGATGAAATTTCTCGGTTCTTTCATATCAAATCTGCTGAGATTCCCCCCCGCCCACTATTTCGCTGTCGCCATGTGCTGGCGAATCTTCCGCTGCATGTGGCCAGGGGGGTGCAAAATGACGTTTTCGAGGGGTTGATGACGTTCGCATCGAAAACTGGCATTCGCGCCTTTGTGATGTTTAAAAGCCCATGGAAACACTCAACTTCTCTAATTAAAAAAAAAACTAACACTGAAATATACCATCTATATGCACCTGGGTATTATGTAGCTTTTTCCTATGAGAAGACACCCCCCTTTTTTTCCCTGTATTTTTAGATCTACCCTAGGGTGTTATGTCCGGGAGAATACGGTAGTGCTGGGTTGGGAGAGGCTGTTCAAATGCCTTTTCGAGTCAATGGCGTGTCCTTCACTGATGCCTTTTCCGGGTGATGGGGGCACCACTGCCAAACAACCTACCATCCGTCTTTCTCACACTCCCTTCCCTTAGCAGCTGCTCCATGGACAGCACAGAATTACAAACAGCAGGAGCTAGAAAGTGCTGCTGCTGTTACAGGATAGCAGCTGCATTAGCTGCTGCCATTGTAGAAATGCCAAACCGCTTGTTTAGGCTTTCCAGTTGACCGGTCAAAATGGCTTTCCATGGGTTCATGGGTACCCTCTCCACTGCAGCTTCGCACCACAATACAACCATACCAATACCATAGAAAGAGTGCATGGACGCCAGATCAGAAACACTAGCACTTGTTGGGCATGATTTCCGAGCACAAATGCACAAATACAGAACAGCAGTGTCGACTCCGACCAACTCTACTTCCGCTGTAGCAAGCTCAGCAGCTAGCATAGCATTGATTGAGAACCATGTAACCAGATGCCGTACACACTTTACTCCGCCCCGTAACCCCGTTCCTTCTAATTGAATCATCCCACCCTTATGAAAAGTTTCATGACAATAACTGTACTCAATGAAGCCATGTCAACATGTCCCCTTTTCCTCATTTATCAATCTTCACGTGCCATGCCATGTCACCCTGTCACTCTGCCACACACACACCCTCACTAACCCCATTCCTCGAGTCTTGCTCCCCCTCTCACCCACCCTGTCACGGCCCATATGCTCCCGGGCGAGAGTAATAAGAACCCACGCCACCATACCCCCCACCCCCACTCCCACCATCACCATACCCTCCCCGTCCATACACCCCGCCCGCACCATACTCCCCCCCACCGTACCCCACCGCACCGTACCCCCCTGCGCCATACCCTCCCAGGCCGTTATACCCGTTACCAGCACCAGCAGCACCCAAGGCACCACCAGCGCCAGGAGCAGCAGAGAGGCTACCATCCAGCTCTCCATGCTCTAGAGCAAGCTGATTGATGCGCGAGGACAGCTGAGACACCTGGAGGAGGGAAGCAGCAGAGGGGGGTGCATGTGAGGCTGATTAGATGATGGGGATGGGGGATAAAAAGGAGAGGAGAGGTGAGCAAAGGAGGGGAGACTATCTGGTAGAAGCAGAGGGGGGTGCAGGTGCTGAGAGGTGGTGGTGGCAATGAGATGAGGGCACTGGTTAGAGCACTTATTTGTTGACAAACTGCTAGAACCTCCAAAAACAGGCTGCAATATTAAGGCATTCGTTTGTTGAGGATGGCATGCTTGCGCTCCGGAGCTTAGCAGCTCTCCTTGGGGACACAACAGGAATGCAGCAGGAGCAGAGCTGACAGCAGCACGGGTTACAACGAGACATCAGGAGCACATCGACCGGACAAAAAGAAGATTCAGCGCACGCATTAAATCCCCACCCTCCTCATCCGCCCTCCCTCTTGGCCTTCCTATTCCCTGCCCTTTCCCTTTTCCCTGCGTCAGCCCACCTTGGAGTCAAGGCACACGAGTGCGCCCAGCTGGTTGTTCAGCACGGCCATTGACCAACGTTCCCATCCCTTCCTATCCCCATCCCCTGCCCCATCTCCTCACTTCTCCACAGCCTACCTTAGAGTCCAGGCACACGAGTGCGCCCAGCTGGTTGTTCAGCACAGATGTCACCAGAGCAACGGGGTCCGCGGATGGGGAGGCCATGCCACGCGCCTGAAGGGGCAGCGGGGGAGGGATTGGCGGAAGGGGGGGAGCGAGGGTTTAAAGGGAGGGAGAGAAGTGAGGGAATGGTTGTTGATGGGAAGGAATGGGGAGGACGTGACGGACCTGTACTCTGATATCCTCATACTCACACACACTCACTCAAACATACTCACACACAGCACACACCCTCATAAAACACACATGCATATACCCATACACCAACACACATATCGCTGAATCGCGGATGTACAAATTTGCGCGACGCAGCAATTTGTACATTTGGCGTGCGAACGGATAAAACAAGTCTACCCGTTTCGCCAGGTCAGTGGGTCCGGTCGGTGGGTCATTTTGCGGCCCGTTAGTTTTTTTCGAGGACGGAGAGAGGGTTGCAAACGAGGAGGAGGAAGGAGAGAGTGCTGGCAAGTGCAAGGTTGGACACGCAGGTGTTGTCCCGGGAGAGGAGGACAGGAGCAAATCGAAGGGGTTTAAACTCACATCAAGTGGAACGATCAATCGACAACAGTCCAATTGAGGGTAACACGCAGCGCAGCACTTGCTTGAGCATCTTTCCCAATTTGATTGTTCTAGGCAGGTGTTTTGATTGACGTAAACAATCAAATCGGGAGAGATGCTCAGGCAAGTGCTACGGTGCGTGTTACCCTCAATTGGACTGTTGTCGATTGATTGTTCCACTTGATGTGAGTTTAAACCTCATCGATTCGCTCCTATCCTCTCCTCCCGGAGCAACACCTTCGTGTCCAGCCTTGCGCTTGCCAGCGCTCTCTCCTTCCTCTTCCTCCTCCATCTCCTCCTCATCCTGCCTGTAACCACTCCCCACATGCCTGTGACCACTCCCCACATGCCTGTGACCACTCCCCACATGCCTGTGACCACTCCCCACATGCCTGTGACCACTCCCCACATGCCTGTGACCACTCCCCACATGCCTGTGACCACTCCCCACCTGCCTGTGACCACTCCCCACCTGCCTGTGACCACTCCCCACCTGCCTGTGACCACTCCCCACCTGCCTGTGACCACTCCCCACCTGCCTGTGACCACTCCCCACCTGCCTGTGACCACTCCCCACCTGCCTGTGACCACTCCCCACCTGCCTGTGACCACTCCCCACCTGCCTGTGACCACTCCCCACCTGCCTGTGACCACTCCCCACCTGCCTGTGACCACTCCCCACCTGCCTGTGACCACTCCCCACCTGCCTGTGACCACTCCCCACCTGCCTGTGACCACTCCCCACCTGCCTGTGACCACTCCCCACCTGCCTGTGACCACTCCCCACCTGCCTGTGACCACTCCCCACCTGCCTGTGACCACTCCCCACCTGCCTGTGACCACTCCCCACCTGCCTGTGACCACTCCCCACATGCCTGTGACCACCCATCACTCACCACCCACCACTCACCACTCACCACTCACCACTCACCACTCACCACCCACCACTCACCACTCACCACCCACCACCCACCTACGATGCATTGACAATGTCAATGACGCCACTCAGCTTGCTGCCCACACATACTCACACACTCACGCACGCACACCCACACGCGCACAGACACATTCACACAAATATACCCCATCCACCCACCAACCCCACACCCACCTGCGATGAATTGACTGTGTCAATGACACCCCTCAGCTTGCTGCTCACACACACACGTGTAAGCCACAGCTTCATTGCACAACACACACACGAACGCCCCCACCCACCCACCTGCGATGCATTGACCGTGTCAATGACGCCCCTCAGCTTGCTGCCCACGCGCTGCAACTCCCGCTCCACCGCCTCTGCCTGCTCGTACCTGGGTAGATGGGTGGGGGAGAGGAAAAGGGAGAACAGGAGCGTGAAGGGACAGAAGGTGTTGCTGCTCTCCTCTCTCTCCACTGCTTCTCTGCCTGCTTGTACCAGGGCGCATCAAGGAGAATTGGAGCGCGCAGAGACGGAACGAATAGCATAGTCATAGGAGCAACAGCAGCGGCAGCAGCTGCAGCAGCAGAAGCACCAGCATGAGCAGATCACCCATAGGAGCAGGAGCAGCAGGAGCAGCATCTCACATCATGTCTCTGGTGGCTGTGGCATCATCCCCCACCAGCCCTGCTGCCTTCTGCTCTGCGTACAGGCGCTCTGCGGCCTCCTCCACACTCGATAGCGCCGCATCCACCTGCCCATGGGGATGATGCATGCACAGAGACACACATGCACATGCACGCATGCACACACACACACATGCACATGTACGCATGCACACACACACACATGCACATGCACGTATGCACACACACACACATGCACATGCATGCATGCACACATGGAACGCACGCACATGCACGAGCGCGCATGCATGCGCACATGCACACATGCGCACACATGCACGCACGTGCACGCACATGCGCACACAGACACACACACAGAGACACACACACGGGCACTATGTTAGTGACATAGTGATGCCCACATGGAAGAAATGCAGAAAGAGGAGTTGTGGAGAACATAAGATGGGACACGGGACACAGGGGCCGAAGAAATAATGCATAAGGGAAAAATAACGGGAGCAGCGGAAAGGCAGATACGAATGTGAGCACAACAGGGCCTCTTTCTCACCATGGAGTGTTTCATTATAGTCAACTAAGAACAACCACCCACCCACCTCGCCCTGGTGTTGTCAGAAATAAACAGGTGGGCTGCGGAGGTCACCTGTTTATTTCTGACAGCACCACCCACCTCGCCCTGGTGTGTTTCTATGAGCTCCAGCTGTCTCTCCAGCGCCCTCTCGGCCTCCACCACTCTCGCCACGTCAGCCTGGTGCGGAGGAGAGGAGAAGGGACAGGGAGGTTTAAGGGTTTTGGGTTAAAGGTTTCGGGATTAAGGGGGCTAAGAGATGCTGGAAGGCGAGGGGAAAAGGAGGGGAAGTGGAGATTGAGGTGGAGTGTGTGGGGGGAGAGAAGTTGATGGCAGGGTGATGGTAGGGTAATGGCGGCGGTAGGAGGATGGTGAAAGCAGAGAAGATACAGAAGGTGGAGAGGGGGAGGGTGCGAGTGAGACTCAGGAAGAGAGTGAGAGTGAAGAGTGAGGCTGAGGGTGAGGGCGAAGTGAGAGCGAGGGAGAGCAAGCGGGGGAGCAGGGTCAAGTGAAAGAGACAACAGGCGAGCGTGGAGCACAAGGGGAGAAGAAAGAACTGAAGAACTCGTAACTCTTTATTCTCCCACAATCTCTTCCTCTCTCTCCCCTTCTTGTTCCTCCTCCAAGCATTAGCCGCCTACTCTCACTCAAGTGTTCTCCCCCACTTGCTCTCCCTCACCCTTCCATACTTTCCCCCCTTCCCTCCCACTTTACCCCTTTCTCCCCCCTTTCTTCCCTCTCCGCACCTTCTACCCTCCTCGCTCACCTCCAGGCCTAACAGAATCCGTCTGTTTGACAGAATCCGTCGGTCCCACTGCTGCAGCACCTCTGCCTGGCGCCTGAACACGGCGCACCGCTCGTCCAGCTCCATTGTCCATGTGCGCACGATCTGTGTGGGGGGCGCACGCGCGCATGGGCGGGGGGCGCACGGGCGCAGGGGCGCATGGGTGGAGGGCGCAAGGGCGGAAAGGCAGACGGGAGGGCGGGCGCATGGGCCCAGGAGCAGAGGGCAGATGAGCGGATCCGCGGATGGGTGGATAGGCGGACAGGCGGATAGGCGGAAGGGGGTATGGGAAGAAGGAAGGATGTGCAGAGAGGGGAAGGGGGAAGCGACAAGATAAAAAGTTCGGTCACATCAAGAGAAAGTGCGCATGAACATGGTTTCAACATACAACCTCGTTCTCCTCTCCACACTCCCTGCCCTTTCCTCTCATCCTTCCCCAACCCCCCATACACACACACAAACCTCTCTCTCCATTCCCATCCCCTTCCCCCACGCCCCCTTTCCCCTTCTCCATCCCTCCCCCACTCCCGCTCTCCCCCTCTCCCCTTTCTCCGCCAGCCCCACCTCTTCCACTGTCTTTCCGGCAATTTCTGAGGGTAGCTTCGGTGACAGAGCGCCCGCCGCTGCAGCCGCCGCGGCCGCTGCTGTTGCCCCTGCTGCGGCCGGTGCTGACGCCCCTGCCGCTGCTGCTGCTGGTGTGGACGCAGCAGCGCCTGTAGCAGCAGCTCCTGCAGTTGCTCCTGCTAGAGCTCCACCAGTGGCCGCAGCAGTCCCGAATGAGAAACCACCAGCAGTGGCAGCACCAGTTGCAGCAGCAGCAGCAGGGGTAGAAGCAGGTGCGGTGGCAGGTGCGGTGGCAGGTGCGGTGGCAGGTGCGGTTCCCGCTGCTGTGCTTGCTGCTGTTCCCCCGGTAGCAGGAGCAGCAGTGGTGGTGGTGGAGGCGGGAGTAGAGGCGAATGAGAAACCGAGGGGAGAGGAGGCAGCAGCAGGGGTGGAAGCAGCGCCGAAGAGAGAGGGAGCTGTTGTTGCTGCCGGGGTAGATGCAGCTACGGTGGAGGAAATGGGAGGGAAGGGTTTAGGGGGAGGGGGAGGGGAAGGGGGAAGGGGAGGAGGGATGGGAGGGAGGGGGGGGGGGGGGGGGAACGAGAAACAGGGGACGTGAGAGGAAATGTGAGAGTAACAGAAATGGATTCAATGTGTCGATATCCAAAGCAAGGGAGAGGTGTCACAAAAACAGGCCAAGCTCTCAGACGTCACAAGCCTAGAGTTGTCAGCACAAGACTGAATGGCAGCGTTTGACGGCAAGGTATGAGGCAAACGAATCCATGGTGGGCCTGGAAGTAGCAGCCCAATAGGGGGCAGGCGAAAGAAGACTAGAATCGCCAGCAGAAAACAGACGCACCAGCACCAGCAGGGGTGGTGGCAGCACCGGGGGTGGAAGCAGCAAAAGAGAAGGAAGGAAAACCGGTAGTGCCAGCAGCAGGAGTAGAAGCAGCAGCAGAAGCAGGCGCGGTTGATGCCGCAGCAGGAGTGGCAGAGGAAGGCGTTGCTGCTGCTGCTGCTGCTGCTGCTGTCGCCTGTGTACCTGCTGCTGCAGGAGTCGTTGCAGCAGTCGAAGCAGCAGCAGCAGGGGTGGATGGAGCAGCAGCCGCCGAGCCTGCAGCTCCCGAACCTGCAGCACCCGCGCCAAACAGAGGCTTGGCTGCCGAACCAAACAGGCCTCCTGCCGGAGCTAGCCCAGAGGCCGGGGCCGAGCCTGCTGCCGCACCGAAGTTCAGAGAAAACGCTGGAGCAGTAGAACCTGCACCAGCAGTACCTGCCAACCCTGCTCCTGCCGGTGTTGCAGCAGCAGCAGGAGTAGAGGCAGCAGCAGCAGCAGCAGTGGAACCAGACCCAGCAGCAGCAGCAGAAGCAGGAGCGCCAAAACCACCAGGCTTAGCCCCAAACCCAGTGAACCCGGCAGCACCAACAGCACCTGCAGCTGCAGGGAAGGCTCCCGAGGAGAACAGACCTGGAGCAGAGGCAGGGGTAGTGACTCCGGCAGCAGAGGCAGGAGCAGCAGCAGAAGAGCCTGCACCGAATAAGCCTGCCCCAGCAGCGGATCCAGAGCCAAAGGAAAAGCCAGTAGCAGGGGACGCTGCTGCTGGCGCTGCAGCAGAAAAGGCAGGCGCTGCAGACGCAGCAGCAGCAGGAGCAGGGGAACCGAACAGATTGGTGGGGGCAGCAGGAGAGGCAGCGGGAGCAGCAGCTGTGGCTGGCTTTGCAGCAGTCGCAGCAGAGGCGCCGCCGAAAGCGAACGGACTAGCTGCTCCTGGTGTGGCTGTCTGGCCGAAAACCGATGCTGTGGCTGCTGCTGCTGACCCAGGCTGACCGAAGGAGAAACCAGTAGATGCAGCAGGAGTAGAAGGAGTTGCAGGTGCTGCTGCTAGTGCACCGAAGGGGGTGGACGAGGCAAGAGGGGCAGCAGCAGTGGGTGTAGCCCCAGTGGCTGCAGCAGAAGCAGGCTGCCCGAAAAGCCCTCCCCCTGTTGCCGCTGCCTGCCCGAACGCCGGGGCAGCCGCTGAAGAGCCAAAAAGAGGCGTGCTCCCTGCTGCGGCGGGCTGCCCGAAAGCGGGCGCGCTGGACGGTGATACGCCGAACGCTGGCACTGTGGACTGCCCGAAAAGAGGCGACGAGGCTGGTTTTCCGAAGGGAGAGGCGGTCTGCCCGAAAGCTGGTGCGGATCCTGCCTGCCCGAACGCTGATGAACTCTGCCCGAAACCAAAACTCGGGGCTGCTGCTCCTGGCGTTGACGCCTGCCCGAAAAGAGACGGCGCGGGGGAGGAACCGGCGGCTGGCGTAGAAGTAGCGGCAGCCTGCCCGAAAACTGGGGCAGCGGAAGAAGCACCTGCTGCCTGCCCGAACGGGGACGCCGGGGTCGCGGGCTGCCCGAAAAGTGGCGTGGCGGCCGCTGATTGGCCGAAGGCGGGCGCGCCGGTCGCAGATGCGCCGAAGGGGGAGGTAGTAGCGGCTGGGGTGGAGGAAGCAGCAGCGCCGAATAGGGACGGCGTGGTCGACTGGCCGAACGCCGGAGCAGCGCCGGCGGCTGGGGTTTGACCGAACACTGGCGCTGCTGCGGAGGCACCGAAGGGGGAGCTGCGCGGGGGGTAGGGTGGTTTGGGAGGGAGAGTATGGTGAAGGGCGAGACTCAGGCGACAATGGTCGGCAGATGGGACCAGATGGCGACAGATGGCGACAGATGGCGACAGATGGCGACAGATGGCGACAAGTGGCGATTGCCGGCGACAGACGGCGACAGAGGCAAGGCAGATGGAAATTGGAGGTTTCTAGATGGTGGGAATTCAGCCTCAACGTATAATGGTATCCGTTACTCGCTGATTGTCATGATCCTCCGTATCCTCGGTGTAACCGATGGTATACTTAACTCGCCGCGTCACTCCGCGAAATGTAAGAAGCGCAAAAATTAGCTAACGATCGTTACACGTGGCAGGTGTCTGCGTCGCCCAGTCCAACCATTCCCGCGGAAACCACAGGAGTCAGAGAGAGACTCACACTAAAAAACTCCTCACTACGAAAACATGAAAAAACTAAGCTGTTATAAACGGCCGGCAAGTCACGAAAAAAGACACCACGAGCTCGACAGCCCACCTGGAGGCTGCGCCGAAGGCGGGAGCCGATCCCGACGCGCCGAACGAAAAGCCCGTTGATGCGGACGAGCCGAAATTGAACGCCATGGCTACCGCCTGGGAATAGCGACACGACGGAGCACGTGGCTATAGGGAGCGCCTGCGGCGGCGGGGAACGTGGCTAATTTCCCGCCTTGATCGGCGCAACTACAACTGCTGCAAGTACACTCGTGTTGCGACTCTGTGTGAGGTTATGAGATCTAAGGTTAAAACCCAAGACCTGAATTACTCAACGGAAGTCAACGCTAAAAACTAGGTTCGGGAGGCAGGCACGGAGAGGTTCGGCTGGGTTGCGAGAGATTTTCACTCGCGAAACCAATTTGCGACAAAAGTTTCTCGCTTCCCATGATGGTTGGTGCTCTTCCCACAACCAGAAAAGCGCGAGCTTATCAAACTGTATTAGGCATAGACCATACCTGTAGACAGGGCAGGGCGTCGGCGTTCACTCATAAGGGAGTAGATGCGCCATATGATTTGGGTGGCGCGGATTTGCAATGATGACGCGCAAAGCTAGTTTGCACTGGGTGAAGATTAGGGCGCTTCACCTGAGGGGCGGAAGGCCAAAATCCGAACCGACGTATCAGTTTGACTCTACGAACAGTATCCCAAATGAGTTCGAACACAAATACGTACAATGAGCGAATGTGACACAGGCCATCACAGGTGACGCCATCGCTATTCGCACACGCGGTCTGTTCGAACACAGCGACGTCGCCCACAAAAGAGCGACGTCGCCAAACATTGGGTCCCTCGCTTGTGTGTTTTCTCGCAAACGTTCATGGGCGACCCGGAAGACTGTGGACCAATCATATCAGTCGTTTGTGCGGAATTGTGTGTCACCTATCCCAACCTCTTCGAACAAACGTGTTCGAACGTGCGGGATGATGAAAATCGTGCTTGAGGTGACAGCTCTGTTCAAATTGGCGAAATTGTGCTTCGCGACGTCACGATCACCACTACGAACATAGGCGAAACGAGTAACGTTTCGCCTGTTCGAACGACTGTGTTGTTCGAACCGACAGGTGAAGCGCCCTTATTGTGTCGAAATGCAGGTTATTGTGCAACTACTCCGTAGCGTAAACTCGTGGCGAAAATCGAATCGCAACCGTTCGCCCAAACGTGACCCTCCCCTCGCCCTTGCTTTCCTTTCCCACGCTTCCGCTCTCTTTCGCCCGCGTCGTCGCCATCGCTTCCGCAGCTCGTCGCGTGCCCGTCGCCTTCGCTCCGCCCGTCGCCTTCACTTCTCCCCCGTCGCCTTCACTTCTCCCCCGTCGCCTTCACTCCCCCCCCTCTTCCGTTGCCTTCATTTCCCCCTCCCGTCGCCTTCACTTCCCCCTCCCGTCGCCTTCACTTCCCCCTCCCGTCGCCTTCAATTCCCCCTCCCGTCGCCTTCATTTCCCCCTCCCGTCGCCTTCACTTCCCCCTCTCGTCACCTTCACTTCCCCCTCCCGTCGCCTTCACTTCCCCCTCCCGTCACACTCGCTTCCCCACCCGTCACCTTCACTTCCCCTCCCATTGCCTTTCACTCTCTCCTGCTCAATCTCTTTCCCCCTGCTCACACCCCACGCGATGGGAAGGGATGAGAGGGTGGGCGGCATGGGTAGAGAAGCGATGGTGAATAGGGGGGAACGTGATGGGCAGGGGAGTGATGACGACGTGGAGAGAGGAGGAGAGAAGGGAGGTCGGCGGGAAGGCTAAGCGAGGACGATGGGAGGGCAAGCGTGGGCGACAGTGGCGGTGGGCGACGGTGGCGGTGGGCGACGGTGGCGGTGGGCGACGGTGGGGAGAAGCGTGGGCGACGGTGGGGGGAAGCGTGGGCGACAGTGGGGGGAAGCGTGAGCGACGGTGGGGGGAAGCGTGGGCGACGGTGGGGGGAAGCGTGGGTGACGGTGGGGGGAAGCGTGGGCGACGGTGGGGGGAAGCGGGGGCGACGGTGGGGGGAAGCGTGGGCGACGGTGGAGGGAAGCGTGGGCGACGGTGGGGGGAAGCGTGGGTGACGGTGGGGGGAAGCGTGGGCGACGGTGGGGGGAAGCGTAGGCGACGGTGGGGAAAGCGTGGGTGACGGTGCTCCGAAGCGTGGGCGACGGTGGGAGGAATCGTGGGCGATGAGAGGGGAAACATGATGGAAGGTGGGGAAAGGCGTGAGCGACGGTGTGGGGGAAGGCCGGAGGAAGCGTGAGCGGCGATAAGGGGAAGCGTGAGCGACAGTGGGGGAAAGCTTGGGCGACGGTGGGAAGAGTGGGCGTGTGCGTGGGGAGGTGTGTGAGAGACGGTGGGGAGAAGCGTGGGGGACGCGGAAGGCGATAGGTCCAAATGCGATGTTTGGGAAAGAGCTAGGAATAAAAGTGAAAATGCTCATGGCCTATGCTGTAGTGGCGTTTTATTCTATCTCTTCGCATACTCTAATCGTTTTGCGTACTATGGAAATCACACGACCTGAATTACCGAAGAAGGCAAACTGTGCACATTTTGAGCCCTTGTTCCTTCAGGAGGGTGTGGTTGGGACTCTCGCCAACCAAACCTGTTCTGCTCTACGACTCTATGTTTCTTGGCGCAATGCTTTTTGGTAACCAGTGCTGATATAACCAAGGATCCAGTGGATAGGATAGAATCTGTTGAGTCCGGGAGGAGACAATGAAGTCTTTGTAGTGACCTTGTTGAATAATAATTGAAAGAGAACAAGATGATTGAAAGATAGGAGTACAAGAATTAAATAGAAATCTAGCTAGCCATCTACTCTGAGGGGTACATTCCCTTATTAACTGTATTGCATAGCTACAGTAACCGTGACTATTGCTATCCTCGACAGTTACCATGTTGCAATGAATTAACTGTCGCGTGGTTACTGGATTGTCAAGGGTCACGGCCGTTGACTTCCTCAGACGGTTGACCTTCGGGTGACCCTCGACATTCCGCATGCTCTATATGAGCTATTGCGGTACTGGTGCAGTGGAACAGCTTCGGGAATGCTTTATATAACCTTTCGGTTATTCCAACACTCCCCTTCATTCCTGAAGGTGGGCCACATGGGATTTCTTGGTGATCCCGCAAAGGTCGGCGCATCGTTGGTACTGCTGACGTGGCAGCTTCTTCGTCAAGAAATCAGCTGCCATGTCACCGGTCGGGCAGTACGTCAGCTTGACTTTCCCTTTGTCAATTTCATCCTTCACGAAGAAGTAGCGAAGGGCGATGTGCTTGGTGCGGTTGACGAAGCCGGGCTTGTTCGCGATCTTTATCGCGCTCTGATTGTCGCAGAGTAACGTGAAGTGCCCGTTCATCGTCACTTTCGCTTCTTGCAGCAGCTCCACCAGGTACAGTCCTTCGCGAACAGCTGCGCTAGCTGCGATGAATTCTGCTTCTGCTGACGAGAGAGCGATAAGTTCCTGCTTCTGAGAATTCCAGGAGATGAGTCCGGTAGGTTGGAGTTGAAAAATGAATCCTGTGCGGGAGCGTCTGTTGTCAACATCTCCTGCGTGGTCGGCATCTATGTAGCCGTGGAGCTGTAGAGTAGCGGTGAGGTTAGCTTCGTAGGTGAGACCGACGTCGGGAGTGGAGATGAAGTACTGTAGTGCTCGGCGTAGATCCAGTAGATTCTCCCCTTCAGGTCGCTTTAGGTACTGTGCGAGCTGGCTTGCGACGTAGGAGAGATCGAGCCGGCTGTCAAATGATAATGTTCTGTAGGCTATAGTGGGGTAGCCCATATGGGGTACACATTTCTAGGGTTGCATATTTGTACCACACTCCATTCCTTAGTGCACCATTCTCGTTTCAGTTTTCTCATGGTATCAAAGCAGGTTCCCTCGTGGGAACTGTGCCTAGGGCCCACCAAGTCGAAAGTTTTTTTTTCCTGCCCGGAGCGCGCTCAGCCCGAGTCGCGCTCCCCTCTCTGACTTCGTCGAGCCGCCCTAGCGGCCAAGTCGCGCCGCCTTAGCGGCCCCTGATTCGTCGCCCTAGCGACCCCGTCGCCCTACATGCGCCTCGGCCCCGTCGCCCTACCTGCGCCCCGGCCCTGTCGCCCTACCTGCGCCCCGGCCCCGTCGCCCTACCTGCGCCCCGGCCCCGTCGCCCTACCTGCAACCCCGGCCCCGTTGCCCCACCTGCGACCCTGCCCCGTCGCCATACCTGCGGCCCCGGCCCTAGCCCCGTCGCCCTACCTGCGCCCCGGCCCCGGCCCCGTCACCTTGCTTGCGACCCCGGCCCCGTCGCCCTGCTTGCGACCCCGGCCCCGTCGCCCTACATGCGCCCCGGCCCCGTCGCCCTACCTACGCCCCGGCCCCGGCCCCGTCGCCCTACCTGCGTACCGGCCCCGGTCGCCCTACCTTCGACCCGGCCCCGTCGCCCTACCTACAGCCCCGCCCCGCTGCCCTACCTGCGGCCCAGCCGTCCTACCTGCGGCCCCGCCGCCCTACCTGCGGCCTAACCGCCCTACCTGCGGCCCACCCGCCCTCACCTGCGGTCCCCGCCGCCCTTACCTGCGGTCCCCGCCGCTCTTACTTGCGGTCCCCGCCGCCCTCACTAGCGGCCCCGCCGCCTTCCCTGCGGCCTCGTCATCTGCTGCAGCGCCGCCTGCCACCCGAGCCGCCCGTGCCGCCTCACCTAGCCGAGCAGCCGACCGCCGCGCCGCCGTACAGCAGCACAGCCAAGCCGCCCAACAGCTGAGCAGCCGGACAGCCGAGCAGCCGAGCCGCCCTGCAGCCGAGCCGCCCAGCAGCCGAGCAGCCGAGCCGCCCTGCAGCCGAGCCGCCCAGCAGCCGAGCCGCCCTGCAGCCGAGCCGCCGTGCAGCCGAGCCACCGAGCCGCCGAGCCGCCCTACCTCCGAGCCGCCCGAGCAGCCCCGTCCGGTAAGCACAGCGCCTCTGTCACTTCACTCCCCTTTCCCTACTGTGTGCGCTGCTAGTCTACTGTTGTCATGGCTACCCCTAGTGTCCTCGCTTTTGACGCCGAGGGTCGAGCCATTGACTTTGACGTCTGGGTAGATGACCTGCAGCTGTTCTTACAGTGCGATAGGGCAGACGGTCTTGCTGTGTTCGCTCACAGTGGGCCACGCGCGATGCTGCTGCACGTCTTGCTGTGCGTCGCCACCTCCCTACCTCTGAGCGTGCGCACTTTAGTCAGTACAAGAGTGCTCAGACCTTGTACGACGCTGTAGTTGCACGCTACTCCTCCCCTGCCACTGCTGCACTGAGCCGTCTCATGCTACCGTACCTCTTCCCTGACCTTGCTGCCTTTCCCACAGTCGCTGACCTCATTACGCACCTCCGCACTAGTGACACTCGCTACCGCGCTGCGCTTCTTGCTGACTTCTGCGCCAAGACCCCCCCCCCCCCCCCCCATGTACATCACTCTCTACTACATAGTCACTCGCCTCCCTGACTCCCTTCGTGTAGTCAGGGACCACTTCCTCCAAGTCTGTCCCACCACTCTCACTGTTGACCTCCTCGAGAAGTCCCTCCTAGCGGCCGAGAAGAGTATAGTCGCTGTAGGGGCCTCTCGTGGTGACCCGCGCACCCCCATCTTTGAGGGGTGTTCCCCCTCCCCCCTTCTGCCGTCTGTTGCCTCTGCTGCTGCGGCCGACCTCCTTGGTCTTGAGTCGGTCGGTGCGGCGTCTGCCCCTAGCGGGAGACGCCGCTCTGGCAAAGGCAAGGGGGGGCAGGGGCATTGGAGGAGCGGGCGGTGGAGGTGGAGGTGGAGGCGGCGGGGGGAGTGGGGGTGGCGGTAGGAGTGGAGGTGGGGGTGGAGGTGTCGGTGGCGGCAGTGGAGGCGGAGGCGGCGGCGGCGGTGGCGGTGGGAGCGGAGGTGGCGGAGGTGGTGGCGGTGGAGGAGGCAGCGGAGGCGGCGGTAGTAGCGGAGGCGGCGGAGGCGGCGGAGGCGGCGGAGGCGGCGGGGGTGGCGGTGGAGCTGGTCGCGGGTCTGCGCAGAGGAGTGGCTCCGGTGGTGGTCCACGCCAGCAGCAGCAGCGCGGTCGTGAGACCCTGTCCCCTCAGCAGCTCCGTGAGTGGTACACTGCACGCCAGCGGGGTGGGGGCTTTGGTCCGTGCACCTACGTCCTGCGCACCGGCGACCGTGCGGGTGAGCAGTGTGGGGGTGCGCACCCCACCCAGCGCTGCTTTGGCCGCCTGACGGACGCGTGGCGTCACCAGTTCCCGAAGGCCACAGAGATCCCTCGCTGGGGCGAGCTGTCTAGGGCGGGAGTTGCCATCTATGATCTTGATTTTGATGCTATCCTTTCTGCCATGTATGCTGTGTCTATTAGTGATGAGGGTGACTGTTCCCGGTGTTTCCCGCCCGACCCGGGCATTGAGACTGCTGCTCTAGGTACTGGTGAGGCTGCTGCTCTAGGTGCCAGTGAGGCTGCTGCTCTAGGTGCCAGTGCGTCTGCGTCCTCAGGTGCTGGTGAGTCTGCGCTCGCAGGTACCACGTCGGCTTCGGCCTTCCTCACCTTCACACTTGACTCAGGGGCTTCTCGCTCCTTCTTTCGAGACCCCACCACACTCACGCCGCTTGGTCGGCCGGTTGCAGTCTCCCTGGCAGACCCCTCTGGGGGTCCTGTCCTTTCTCACTTCTCCACTGTCCTCCCGTGTCCGGCGGCCCCCTCTGGCACCTTGTCTGGTCTTTACCTCCCCTCGTTCTCTACGAACTTGGTGAGTGGTGCTGACCTACATGATGCGAGGGTTCACCAGTTTACTCCTGCGAGTCAG